AGAAGATGACCCTACATGTTCTTAACGAATATTATTAATCTATTATACTATTTATATTTTTCTCACTTAGGGGAAACACCAGAAAAGAGTGTTTTGTGTTCAATTTATAAGTTTAGCACAAATGCAAGAATGAGACAGAAACAAATTCAAGATTTCAATTCAAAGGGTTCAAATTTTAGGATGCGTAGCACTTAAAAGTTGTTGTGTTTTCTTTTAGTTTTATGAGTTTCGAATTTGATATTGAAATTATAGCGAGATTTATATATTACGTATCGAAAATACAAGAATTCAGCCAAACGAATAACAAACAACCACATACGTACCATACTGTATCACTGACAATCTAGTATCTTATAAAATTGCAAATTTAATTTTTAATTGTGCATGACGATAAAATATTGGAAAAAAAACTTGAAGAAATTACATCATATATCACTTGGGCCATACAGCCCATTCGAATATAGCCCACATTCGAAGTCCTTACCTGGTTTAGCCCAGGTTGTATATGTTTTGAAATTTAGTTTTCACCCGGTAGCCCACAAATTTTAAAACAACGGTTTTCGATTTTAAATTTCTTTTTCTCTCTTTCTTTTTCTCTCTCTTCTTCTCACGCTTTTATCAGAGATGAAGGCAACAACCGTCCTCCATTGTTGGGTCTAAGTACTTTTTCGAGCTTTCACTCTTATTTTCAGGTAATTTTCGTTTCATTTTATGATTTTACCACAGTTTTGGTTTTAAATTTTGTTTTATTTTTAATTTTTTTGCTTTTCTGATTATGAATATTTTCTTACAATGTTGTTGTGTTTTTCGTTTGATTTTGTGTTCCTTCTTTCTTCGTTCTGAGCCTAAACTTGATGTTTCAGTTTGCATGCTTTGTTATTTCGACTTTTAGGGTAGAATTTTATATTTTTTTAGTTTTGTTATAATTTGGGAAAATTGGCCTCTACTTTGGAGTCGTTCAACAAGAGAGCAGTCGAATGACTCGTTCACAGACGAGTAATACTCCTACTCCGGTTAACATTGTTAGATTAAGGAGTAAGAAATGTGGGAGACCTGAAAAATCGAAAGAAAAGCTGAAAGTTGATTTGGTTAATGAAGATGATGTATGCCGAGTGTTAAACCGAAAAAGAGACAGATCAAGGACGATGGTGAGAGTGGTCTTGATCGCATACCCAAAGAACAAAGGTTTGCTATTCGCTATAAATTGAATGAGAGAAAAGCTAAGCTGGAGGTATTCCCTGTGTTGCTATTAATTTTATACATGCTTATATAATTTTATACAAAGTTATACAGTTGTTTATACATCTTTACACAAGTACTGCTACACTGATTTAAACATGTTTATACAATGTTTTAGTATAGTTTTTGTTCCTGATCTCTTTCTTGTTATTTTTTCATATGCAAGGTTGGAGACTTCTATATACAACCAGTTGATCATTTCCACAACAGGATTAGTTCCCATACCGAGACTGATATTGTGAGCATTTTGAAGCAATGTTTGACTGACACACAGCTTCAAATATTCCGTGCTAGTTGTTTTGGGTACTTCTTGGACCTCCCTCAATTTAAAATTAAAATCAACTTATTCATTGTATACTATTGAGGGAAGTCGCCCCAGGACGGGAAAGGGAGTTGTGGGTGAAAATTAATAGTTGTTTACTGCATTTTGGCATTGGAGAGTTTGTTGTTATCACTGATTTGAAGTATATAGAAGAAGATGCCACTTTCTATGACAAACCAGATGTCAATAGGTTGCTAAAAGAGATTTTCGGTTAGCCTCATGCAAGTAGCGGGGGAGNATGTATGAACTCATGAGAGTGTGAGGATTCTGAATTTGTAAATTTTACCCGAATCCGAGACGTGGGCTTGGGGGGGCTTTTTGGGCGATTTTCCTAATTTCGCGTATTAGCTTCGAATTAATTAGTTGAATTAGTTACTTGAAGTTATATTTATATTATGCAATTACTTTGAATAGATTTGGGCCATTTGGAGTCAAGTACTCGTGGCAAGAACGTGGTATCGAGTTGATTGAGTTGGTTCGAGGTAAGTGGCTTGCGTAACCTTGTGTGGGGGAACTCCCCTTAGGATTTGGTACTGTGATATATGAAATGCCTTGTACGTGAGGTGACAAGTGCGTACATGTGCTAATTGTTGAAAATCCGATTTTCATTAAGTAACTATAATTTCGTATTTCTTCCCTGTTTACACTACTTAAAATTTAAGCCTACTGTTTAGGGGTGAGCATATATCGAGTAAAACCAATAAACCGAACCGTTAATTACTTATTGGGTTATCGGTATTGGGTTATTGGGTTAACGGTTCGGTACGAGTAAAAAAATTTTTTTATGGGTTATCGGTTCGGGCTCGGTTTAGCAATTCTGTTATTGGGTAAACCGATAACCCAATAAGGGTTAACTAATTTACTAGTTTACCCTTAAGTATATACATACTAGGGTTTCATATACATGATTTCAAAAGAATATTACTATAACCTATAAAAGCTATCTTCCTCAGAAAAAAGGAAGAGCGTTAGCAGGAACATGTTTCAATGGTTTAACAAGTTCAACTGCCAAATGTGTAATTTATCAGGGGGTCTCCTTCACCTTAGAGATGGAGCTAATACTCAATATGTTACTGCCACAGCTTTTCTGTTTAGTGTTTATAGTGATTATCTAGCCAACCATAAGCAAAAGGTCAGCTGTGGTAACAAACAGTTCAATTCAGCTGATCTCATGGCCTTTGCCAAGCAACAGGTAATATATATCAGCACTTTTCTAATGCTTTTCGCAATTTTAATCTTAGCAATAAGCCAGCCCTGGATAAAGATTTCTAACGCGTCATACTCATGAGAGGTATTTCTATCGAAAATTTGGTCAAGCATTTCTGTGGGTGTAGGACAATACTCTTAATTTTAGTTTTACCTTATCGGGTAAACCGATAATGATCAATAACCGATTAACCAATAATCGATAACCAATATCTTATCGGTTTGGTTATCGGTTTATCATATTTATAAACCGATAACCGATAGGCAAAATCGATAATATTCATAACCGAACCAAATCGACCGATGCCCACTCCTACTACTGTTAGCTAAGAAAGCATGTCTAAGTGACTCAATTGTTTTACTTGCTCAAACTGTTTTATCTGAATTTTGTGCAGCATGCTAGGTTAGAATTACCTGTTTACTTTGGTATGAAATTGGATTGAAATGGATTTTCTTCGTGTTGTTGCTGTGTGTTTACTTTGGGACTACAGGCGATTTCCCGGTAGATCCCCCTTGTCTGTTTATTTGGGACTATAGGTTGATATTCCGGTAGACCCCCCCCCCCCCCTTGCATACTTATATGAAACTACAGGATTACACCCTTTAGATTCCCCCAGTACTGGGTATTTACATTTGGGACTACGGATCGGGATTCCGGTAGATCCCCGCGCACTATGAGTTGGACTACAGAACGACATCCGGGAGATCCACTGGATATTTACATCTGGGGGCTACAGGACGGTATCCTGGTAGTTGTTGCTTTAATACTGCTTCATTTCCTTATATAATAATGTATATGACTGGTAGAGCCCTGACCTTCCTCGTCACTACTCAACCGAGGTTAGGCTTGGCGCTTACTGGGTACTGCCGTAGTGTACTCATGCCCTTTTCTGAACATGTTTTTCGTGTGCAGATCCAGGTTCCTCGACTCAGCACTACTATCCTTGAGGCGAGGCGATTCTTCAGAAACTTCGAGGTATATCTGCCGCCTCTGCAGACGAGGAGTCCCTTTCCATTCTCTCTTGTAGTCATAGTCCTTCTGTATTTCTTTGGTTTAGACATTCCGGAGTTAGAACACTATGTCGTATTCATAGATTGTGATTCATGAGATTTCGAATTTTGGGAGTTGTTTAATTTTAAAATCTTGTATTGGTTTATACCGAGCGGCATCTTAAACACTGCTATATTTGCTTATCTTCGATTTTTATTAGTTTTTCCGCATCTTGTTTTCTTTTTCGCAATTGTTAGGCTTACCTAGTCGTGGAGACTAGGTGCCGTCACGACAGTTCACGGAGGGCGAACTTGGGTCGTGACATTAATCTCAATTGTTTTACTATTTTACTATTAGTGTACCTGTTTACAGTAACGTACAGAGAATCTGATTTTTTTTTAATTACAGTGATTGTAGTGCTTTTGTTGCTGGCTTTGCTGAGTATTTCATCCTTGGTAAGGAAATTCGAAAAGATAATTTTGACATTGAGACACTTCGCACCATGTGGGGATCTCTGTTGTGGGATTATGGAAGGAAAAACCACGGTCCGGTGCAATTAGTGGTGGTGTAATCACAGGGAGACTTTTCAGGAAGAGGAAGAGGGGACGACCGAGAAAGTAGTTCTATTTTTTCCATTTTAATGTAGTTTTGCTATGTATCAGGAGTTGTTGCCTAGTTTTGTCTAAGTGCTATTCTGCTATTTGTGAGATTACCTTAAAGGATATTATAGATATTTTTATTTTTGTGTAATTTGTCGTAGTCATTACACATTGTGGCTGTGAATGAATTACATTTTAATGAATATTTCAGTTGCTTTTGCCCTTTAACAAAGTATGTATTTTCATTATGGTTGCAGTTTTATTAATGTTGCAGGGTTTATACATATGTATACAATAATATACATAGTTATACAATTTTATACAAACTTATACTCTCATTTATACATCTGTATACATATAATACCATTGATTGTTTGCAGTTCTGTTTTGCTTTTTTACAATCTATCAATATATTTAGCACCATTAAAGACAACAACACATTATTATTGGATAACCAAAACATGTACAACGAAACATATTTAACATAATTGCAATATATAGTGTAAATTATAATTCTTTATTGACATTTGTAGCTCAATTGATTGTGAAACTTAACTACTCGACATTTGTAACTCTATTGTTTGTGAAACTTAACTACTCAACATAACAACATATGTAATAGGAAGTGTTATGTTCCAACTATTTATTTTGGTCGATTCCTACATATTTTTCTATTATGACTACTTTGTCCACACACAGAACGTGAAAACGCCCTCTTAGACTCTTTCTCTGAAGCAGGTTTGAGTCTTTCCTTTCTTGGCCTTCCTGCATTCCTTCTCCCTTTAGGTGGTAGGACCCTATCTTCCAGCACCTCTGTTGAAATTACCCATAAACTCTCATCTGGCATCGAATTCACTGGAAATTCATAAGCTCTAAGGAGGTTATCCTTCTTGTAGTAAAAAGAGCAATAGCGGCCAGGTTTCAGCTGCTGGTTCTTCAAAACTGCCCAAGCATGCGGACATAGAAGTTCATCCATTTGAAATTTTCCGCAACTGCATGTTCCCTCTTCAAGGAAAACTATGTTTCGTCTTACCCCATCAAGCACAGTATATAACTGCTCCATAGCAGGCCTCACGTGCAAAAGTTTTTTTTTAAAAAAAAAGTTAAAGCACATTATACATTATTATACAGAGTTACACATCCTTATACAAGCAGTAAAATTCAAGTCAGCGGTGCCAAGCATTATTATATTTGATTCGTTTTACCGTCATTTGCTCCGATGCAATTAGATTTTCCCAAATGAGTTTGTCGTAGTTATTGCCAAGCTCTGTAGATGTCTCCATTGCACTTTTTCTATTTTTGTTGTTCCACTGTTGTAGCAAATTTGTTATGTACTCCATTCATCGCATTACTGGTAACTCTCTAGCATCCTTATTTCCTGCATTATTTGACTCAGCAATATTGGAAGTCACTACCATCGACCTTTTCACTTTGGAGTATGCCCTAGACCATCTTTCGTAGCCAATTTCGAACAAGTAAGGCTGCACCCTCGGATAAATTTTGCACATCTCTGTCATATGGTAGTCAAACTTCTCTATCGTGTAAGCTCTAGCCAAAGCAAAGAACATATCCTTCAATTGCTTGTGATGTTTCTTGAATGTGCGCTTTACATTCTGCCACAAGTGAAACATGCAAATACAATGTGGTACTTCTGGGTACACAGCTTTTGTGGCATTGAAGATGCTTTCGTTTCTATCTGAAACTATACACATCCCTTCCCTAACACCAAAAGTACCCTTTATCTGTACAAAGAACCACTCCCAAGATTTGTTATTCTCTGAATCTACAATTGCATATGCAAGTGGAAGGATTTTTCCTGTTTATACAAAATAGATTTTAGGATTCAGACAATTATACAAATCTTATACACAGTTATACACAATTATACAACTTTATACCAACTGCAAATTTTATAAAAACAGCAGCTGTGAAATCCTATACGCTTTTATACATGAAACTACAACATTATACATACTGCAGAAACAAGGTAGATGCAGTCAACTCACCAGCTCCATCCTGTGTGCAAGCAGTCAATATGGTACCCTTATATGCTGCTTTAAGGAAAATTCCATCAACAACCATAATCGGTCTGCAATGCTCCCAACCCTTGATAGATGCATATAGCGAAACATATGCATAAAAAAAGCATCCATCTTCTGATTTGTGCAACTTTGTAACCGTTCCTGGATTTGTAGTCTCCAACATATAAAAATACTTCGGCAACTCCTTATATGAATCACTCGGATTCCCTCTTATCATTGCCATTGCTATCTCTTTATCTTTCCATGCTTTCATGTACCTCACTTCAATCCCGTGTTGCTTTTGTATGTCCTCTATTATATCATTTGCGGTGTAAACATTTTTTGGATTAACATACTTGTCCTTGACTATACTAGCAATTACACCTGAAGTAGCTTGACGTTGTGTTAAGTATCTTTCACCATAGCCGCATGTGTGATTATTATTGTAACTTCTCACCTTGAATGTGTTTGCCTTGTAAACGGCAGAAGATCTGAAACTCAAACCACAATTGTCATCCACACACATAAGGTGATACCTAGGATTGAAGATCATTCAACTTCTAAATACACTTGTATACAAAAACATAATTAGATATATACTAATTTTAATACCTATGTACAAATATATACTACTTTATACATAATTATACATATATATAACAGAATATACAACTATTGCCATACCTTGTTGCGCTAGATCTCTTCACCTTGAATTGGAACCTCTCGCGTACATCCAAATTCTCCATCACACTGATAACTGTCTCTTTATCCTTATAAACTTGATCTTCCTCAACAAATTCGTTCAACATATCATCTATTATACTCGTGTTTTCAATAAATTCGATATTAGGCATAATCTCGGTGCTATCAATTGTGGACACATCTATACAATTGGAACTTGTAGCAACCAAACAACCGGAACTTGTACCAACCAAACAACTGGAACTTGTACCAATCAAATGATTATCATAAATCTCTTTCACCGTCACATATAACGGTTATTCAATGAAATTCAAGTTTTTCTTCTTTAATTCCATATACACCGTAACACCCGTAATGTTATAAATCAGGGCCGGTGGCAAACCATCCTTTGGGACAAAGTTAATCTCCAATGTGTTTAAATCACAATCGATTCTAATCTGTTCCGAAATAGCTGTAACTAAATTGTTGTAGCTGAATGTCGACTCGATTATTACACAATTGCTGATGAAATTGATAAATTTGTTTTCTTCCCATTCACCACTATGAATAACGTAAACTGGAAAAAGCTCCATCGAACAAAAATTTGAAATCAAAATTGTAGCAAAAATGAAAATTGCGCTGATTGCAGCAAAAAAGATTAACTTTTCGTGTTTGATTTGCTGTTAATTCGAGATGAAGAAGAATTTCTACGGTTTTTGGAGTTGCATTGACTGCAAGATCGCGTTTTTGTTGATTTTGGGAAGAAGAATGGAAAGAATGAGAGAAAATCTCGCTTCTGTGTAACGATCCGACTGGTCGTTTTGAGCTCTAGTGCGTCGTTCAGTAGTTTGAGGCCATGAGCAGCTTCAATTCAGGCATTATGACTTGTACGCATGGTCGGAATTAAATTTCGGAAAGTTTGGAGTTGACTTGGAGATGAAATTCTCATTTCGGAAGCTTTAAGTTGAAAGAATTAACTAGGATTGGATTTTTGAGTAAACGACATCGAAATCGGGATTCGAAGGTTCCAGCAGGTTCGTATGATGATTTCGGACTTGGGCGTATGCCCGAATCGGGTTTTGGATGACCCGGGAGCGTTTTGGCGCCTATTGTGGAAGTTAGCATTTTGGAGGAAATTTCATAAGTTTGGGTTGAAGTGCATTTCAGTGTTATTGATATCTGTTTGGGATTTTGAGTCTGGGAGTAGCTCCGTATGGTGATTCTGGAGTTGGGAGCGCGATCGGAAGTGAATTCGGATGCCCGTGGGTCATTTTGGGGTCATTTGGCTAAAGATAGAAATTTGAAGGTTTTTGAGAAGTTTGACCGGAGGTGGACTTTTTGATATCGGGGTCGGAATCCGATTCCGAAAGTTGGAGTAGGTCCGTAATGTCGAATATGACTTGTGTGCAAAATTTGAAGTCAATCGGACGTGATTTGATAGGTTTAAACATCGAAAGTAGAAGTTTGAAATTCTAAAGTTCATAAAGCTTGGATTGGAGGTCGATTCATGATTTTAGCGTTGTTTGATATGATTTGAGGCCTCGAGCAAGTCCGTAATATGTTGTGGAACTGGTTGGTATGGTTGATTGGGGTTCCGGGGGCCTCGGGTGGATTCCGGGTGGTTATCGGATCGAATTGGAGCTTGAAGGATGAGCTGAAGGGGTATGGTTGCTGGTGTAACCGCTTCTGCGGAGGGTTCACCGCAGAAGCGGCCCCGCAGAAGCGAGGAAGGGAACCGCAGAAGCGGTTAGATGTGAAAGGAGCAGGGACCGCAGATGCGGGGGTATTGGCCGCATCTGCGCAAGCGCAGAAGCGAGAAGTAGGACCGCAGAAGCGGTGATTGGCGTTGGTGCGATGAGGGCTCCGCAGATGAGGACTCGTAGAAACGGCAAGGAGTCTGCAGGTGCGGAAGTCGCTGGGCAGAATGTTTTAAAAAGCGGGGTTGAGTTCATTTCACCCATTTTTCTCTTCTTTGGGGCGATTTTGGAGCTTTTTGAGAGGGGCTTCCACCTAGCAACTTGGAGGTAAGTTAATCCCACCTAACTTGAGTTAAATACATTGATTATGTATGGATTTTAGCATGAAAATTGGTAGAAATTTGGGGGTTTGAGGGAAAACCTAGAAAATTGATATTCTTGGGATTTGACCACGATTTTGGGTATGGAATTAAGAGAAAATTGTATATTTGAGTTCGTGAGTACATGGGTAAACTTTATCTTTGAAAAATTTCGGAATCCGGGCACGTGGGCCCGAGGGTGTTTTTGTCAACTTTTCGATCGGGGTTAGGAATTGTTATAAATTGGATTAATACGAGTAGTTTATCATATATTAATGGATTTGCATAATCATTGGCTAGTTTTGGAGCATTTAGCATCGATTCAAGTCTTCGGAAGGGCGTGGAATGCCGGTTATGGATCTTCGGAGCGAGGTGAGTCTCCTTTCTAACCTTGTAAGAGGGAATTGTCCCCATAGGTGAAATAATTGGTTATGTGCTCCTATTTGTGGGGGCTACGTACGCACGAGGTGACGAGAGTCCGTGCGTAGCTACTAATATGTGTAAGTCCGGGTAGTCTAGGACCCAAAAGCATGCTATACTTGGAATATTTGTAACCTTATTGACAGTTGAACTGCTTAAATCCTACCAAATTGGTAAATGAATTTCAAAAAATAATTAAACTTAATTTTTTCTAAATTGTTAATGGAGAATTGGTTTTCTTTGGATAATTGTTTCCTGATGACTTCTTGATTGACTGTCTGTGTGTGTTTAAATTCTGGAACGGGCCGAACGCCTCGGTAGATTAAATAGATGCAACTATGGTTCGCGCCATAACCCTCTGGCAGTGCACAATTTAAATATTATTGGATCGGGCCGTACGTCCTCGGCATGAATTGCGCATGCTTGTATTGCTTGCCTCGAGATTTATTGATATTGCTTTCTGCTCTCCCGACTTGAGATAATTGTTAATTAATGGATTATGAATCTGGAGACTTTAAATAAAAAGGAACTTTCACCTGTTTAGTGACTCATTTGAATTTTACTGTTGTTCTTAATAAATCCGCGAGTCATCGCATTAATAATATTATTACTGGACCTTTAGTAAGTGTCGAAGTTGCCATCTCGTCTCTACTTCTTCGAGATTAGGCGGGATATTTACTGAGTACACGTTGTTTCTGTACTCATACTACACTTCTGTGCATTTTTGTTGCACAGGCACATGCACCTCTAGTGGCCTAGTGAGCGTAGCAGCATGGTTGACACGGAGACTAGGTGAGCTGTATTTCCTCGAGTCGACCCGCAGCTAGTATAGTCTCTCTCGGGATTTTATTTATTTTCTGTCCAATTTGTATTCCGGACAGCTGT